AGGTCATAAGTACACGAGGCAAGGACTAAAGTTGCGTTTGCTTAACGTCCTGAGCTATTGATTCTGCTACAATATTTTGGCGACGAGGATGGCCGAGATCACATCAATACCACCGTTTGATCCCTTCGAACAGACCGGCAGTGTTGGTCCCCGCTGGGACAGATGGAAAACACGACTACAATATTACATCGATGCCCGTGGAGTTACTGTTGACAATCGCAAACGAGCTTTGCTACTTCACCTTGCCAGGCCGGCTGTTCAAGACATCTTTGCTACCTTATCAGACACTGGAACCACTTACATAGAGGCACTAACTGCGCTCAACACGTACATCTCTCCTCAGAAGAGCTTAGAGTTCGAAAGACGCACCTTTCGCCAGGCTCATCAAATGCCAAACGAATCGATTGCCCAATACGTTACACGATCAAACCGACTGGGCGAGCATTGTGATTTCGATAAATACTCGCTCGATGAGGCTGTTATGGATCAGTTAATTGAACATTGTCATTCCAACACGCTTCGCCGACGCCTCCAAGCGGCGAACATTGAGAATACCTCGTCCCAGGAACGCTCGCACAAAGCTCACCAACTAACAACGCCAACCGTCAGCGAAAAAGACCAAGTGAATTTTACCTCGGAGAAACAGCAACAATGTACACATTGCGGTAACCAGCGTGACCACCAGCCGCGAACTCCCAGATGCCCTGCTTTTCGTAAGACATGTTCTCAGTGCGGAATCCTGCACTATTTTGGACGCATGTGTATGAAAAAAACCAAAACCCCAGGCCACCCAAATGGCGCACAGGCATCGACACCCAAGGCCCGGTATGTTTGTAATTCTTCCGATGAAGATGACTGTCATGAGGCATTTCACCTCAACCCTAACCAAGCAAAAGCAGACATCACACTTACCATTGAAGATATCCCAGTTCGTTTGTATTGATTCTGGTGCAACGGCGAACACCATCGACTATGCAACATATGAGGCGATCAATGCCGCTAAAACAGTGCCCTTAAAACCAACCAATGTGTAACTTTGCCCATATGGACTAGACAACCCTGCCCCGATCCCCTTGCTGGATCGTTTTTTGGCCTGATCAGTAGTCCGTCAGGGCAGATGGACCTAGCAAGGTTCCTGGTGCTCAAAGCAAGAAATGCTGGCTATCTCCCGAGTCGTGAAACCTCAACCCGGCTAGGAGTGTTGCATATCGCGGCCTTCACAACTACGGAACATTCCCCTTGCCACGCTGAATACCAGTACCTTTTACAGAAGTTCCCAGCAGTGTTCAGTGGCAAAATCGGCAAATTAAAAGCTTACCAACTGAGCTCAACATCGACCCAACTGTACGACCGGTGATACAAAATTCCCGTCCTACACCCTTACATTACCGAGCCAAGGTGGAAGCCAAGCTAAAACAGCTTGAAGATCAAGATATCATCGAACCGGTTACGGGCCCGACGCCATGGGTCTCCCCACTTGTCATTGTCGACAAGCCGAATGGTGACATACGGCTGTGTGTAAACACGTGCAAGCCCAACGAAGCTCTCCGCTATACACACCACCCATACCCCACAGCCGAAGAAATTCTCCAAGATCTAAACGGCTCCAAGTTCTTTTCCAAATTTATCATAAGGAATGCTAGCACCGAATCGAATTGAACTTGGTGAATCGTCTCGTCACTTGACAACATTCAAAACACACGTTGGTCTCCGCCATTACAAGCGTCTGCCATATGGAGCATCAGTAGGCTCTGAAATATGCCAACACGTAATTGGAAAAGTCCTCGAGGGATGTCATAATGTAAGAAACATTGCTGATGACATTCTCGTCCACGGTACAACTAAGGAAGAGCATGACAGATCCCTAGAAAATGTGTTGCTACGGCTCCAAGGAAAAAACCTCACAGTCAACCCAGCTAAGTGTCTATTTGGCGTCCCGGAACTGAACTATTATGGATTTCA